ACTTCGTTGAGGATGATATGAGTTCACGTGGGGGGGGGGGGGGGGGGGGGGGGTGTAAGCGAGGGCGAAGAAGGGGGGGGGGGGGGTTGATGCCAGACACTGAGAGAGCTTAAAATAATAATTTAACATTCTCATTTCTTGACTATTTTTATTTTGACAATGTCGCCACGTGATAATTGTTAAGTCATTCGGAAAGGAAGATATGATTGGGGAGGGAGGGGGGGAGGGTTATGACATAAATTGCTAGCTCAGAGAGCTTTCAACTTTTTTGTACAGTTCTCATTTCTTACATATTTATATTTTAATACCTCTTCCTCAGCTATTTTCCTTTTTTTTGGGGTGTCAGTTTGTTGGTCAGTTAGAGGTATAGCAGTCAGCTTTACTTTTACCTGTTAACGCACAACATATGCTTTAGCGTCGATAAACAAATAATCTTTTTTCTCACTCTCTAACAATGCACTTTATTCGACCACTAATATCGACATTTGTTCCGTGTTCTAGAGTTGGCATATCAGACTATCTCTGTAGATGTGCATTGACTGATATTAACCATATTAGACAGGTGGGCTTTCTTTTTTCTTTCCTTTCCAGTTTACCATTCTGGGCCACAGCAACGCGTGGCGGGGTACAGCTAGTATTTAAATAATTCAAATTAGTTGGGAAAATGGGTTATGGCGGGGAAAGAGTTCCTGACTCAAAACCTTATCAGTACCAGCGTAGGAATAAAAACCCACTGAACGATTATCTACTGTCTGGTCCTCGCGCCCATCAGCCAGATTCTCCCAAAGTACAAGAAGGCTCAAAGGGAACTATCTCATTTAGAAATGTATCTCATGCATGGATAAGTTGTGCCTTTTGTTTTCTGTGGGGTCATATTTCCCGAATGAGTCACTGGATACTGCGTGTCATAGACCTCTGATCTACCGTGATGGTATGTGGCTCGTTGTACAGGCCCGTGACAGACAATCTATCCAAAATACACTAAGCCGAACATCCAAAGAGCACACATAACAATCTTTAATGTAAAGCGCAGGCTAATACGAGGCAGTTGACGTCAAAAGATGTGGGCTCCCTTTTCCGAAACGCAGGCCATGATGGCTATACAAATCACCATGCACTCCTTCCCCTCCCCATGCTTAATACTCAGGTCCAAACGCACACTGTTCCTGATAAGCTCTTGTCCTCTGCCACTGGACTCCGCCAGGATCGTTCAGTAGCTGCAAAGTGTGGGCGACAGTGTTCAAGGATAGATAATATTACAAGAGCCAGCCAAAACGAATCCTGACTACCAGAATACCCCAACAACGACTTACGTAGCACATTATACATGATAATACCTCAATCAAACACTATAAAACACAGAATGACTAATATAACTGAACTAAACAGGTTAACCCAAACTATCGATCACTACAATATCACTACAACACTGGAATTCTAAACAGCTATCAGATGTCTTCTGTCTCAAGTCCGCCAGTCCACTCCCCTCTGTCTGAGCTCACCCGTGGTTTTGTCACCGTGCAACAACCCAGTACAGCTCATGCAAGACTTGTGGATACGCAAGCGAGTCGTACTCTAAACTGTGGGTCAGCTATGGGTCATTCAAGTACAAGCACGGATCGTCACTATTGTATACACCATTCCCAACCCACACAAGACTCTGCCACTGCATATGTATGAGATTTGTATATGTTTTAGCGACCCACGCCTGTTCTGCTGCAATGTGGGCCGTCTACAAGACATGATCTAACTTTACAGTGTATCCCACACATGAATCGGGATTGATTCCCATATATTTAAGGAGGAAAGTCCAATGCCATTTAATTAAATAGATGTATCCATACATAATTTGGTTCTGTAAGAATTAATAACAGTCATTTATCCCTTCCTTAAGGAGAAAATGAGTATGAAGAAAACTGTAGCCTAATCTCTATAAGACTCAATCAGTCTGCGTCTAAAAAAAAAATAGATCTCTTCATTTATGATTTTAATAGCACGATGTTGTTTTAGATAACGCATTACTGATAGCCTACAAAGAACTAGATAACACGACTTGTCAGCTGCCAACAAAGAACTAGATAACACGACATGTCAGTTGCGAAAAAAAAAACTGGATAACACGACCTGTCAGTTGCCAACAAAGAACTCGATAACACGACTTGTCAGTTTCCAACAAAGAACTAGATAACACGACCTGTCAGTTGCCAACAAAAAACTAGATAACACGACTTGTCAGTTCCAACAAAGAAGTAGATAGATAACACGACTTGTCATTTGCCATCAAAGAACTAGATAACACGACTTGTCAGTTTCCAACAAAGAACTAGATAACACGACTTGTCAGTATCAAGCAAAGTACTAGATAACACGACCTGTCAGTTGCCAACAAACAACTAGATAACACGACTTGTCAGTATCAAGCAAAGTACTAGATAATACGACCTGTCAGTTGCCACCAGAGAACTTGGGAACTAAAGTTTTACTCAGCCTCCAACAAAAACCTTGCGCTTCTTTTGTTATACAACCTGGCAGTGATACATGCGCCTTTCAACCGACTTTTCCTATTTCAGCGATCTACTAATTGTGTACCTCTTACGACAAGCTTGTTATTGGAAAAATGATTCTTTGTTTTCTTTCCACTAAAATTTGAGAGCTCGAACACAAGCCTTGTGGTTTGAGGCTCCAATCTATTATTTACGAATTACAGCCTGTTTAACATATATCTTTTTTACGTCCGTCATGTCGACTATGACAAAAAGTAAGTGCTGTCAAATTTCGACAAAGAACTAGATAACACGACTTGTTAGTTTCCAGTGAAACAGTAAAATTACATTGAGAAAAAGCATTCCACTAAGCCTTCAGCAACCACCTTGAGATCAGAACAATTGTTTAGTCAATTTTAAGGACGACTTTAACAATAACACGCATATTTAATTTCCAACACCTTGACAACACACTTGTTAGTTTAACTCCTACAAAGACCACGACAACACAATCGGTTTTTTTTTGTCAACTTCTAAAGAAGAAGTTTTCAAGCAACATGCATATTTCATCAACTTCACATTGAGAACACAGCTGTTAGTCAACTTTCAACACAACTGTCATCTTCAGTTACAGACTGTGAAAACCACATATTTTGTTTTTTAATTTAAAAACAAAATACAGTGACTACATTCAGAGATTATCAATTAAAAACAACAACTTTGTGGGTTCCAGGGTCCCATTGTGGGGAAAACAAGAATAGACCCACTGCCTCCCCAAAAGCATGTCGTAAGAGTCGACTAATTGGGGAGCTTCCTTTGAAGTCGGAGTGCATCTGCCGGAGAGGCAAGGAACCAACAGTCTGTATTCAAGAGAATGTGATCTGTAAAACTGATGCACACGCAACACTCAGGTTCTGGAGCAGGACTGCAGTTCAGTAGTGGACGAGCAACCAGAACCTTCCGCCAGAGTTTACAGCTGGTAAACGCGAAACAGAAGAAAAGTATTTACATGATTGCTTTCAAAACATATAAATATACTATGAATACGATACAATTAATTAATCAATTTTGATACATTAACTTACATTTGACAAACTGATTCGTAATGTAATCTGTGTTACATATTGTTTGTGTACCTAGTGTTACATTTGAATACGGTAAAGGTGTAGTTAGAATAAATCAGGGAACATCTAAACAATTCGAAGTAACAGCTTTATTAAGACAGGGATGTATCTAATGACAACTGTTGTGTTTCACCTGCATTTAAAGTATATCGAAGATCCAGGAAAGAACAAATTAGTAACAGCAACCAGTTAGGCTTTGCTGGTGACGGGAACTTGATAGCACATACAGCCACGAAACTGCAACATCTCACATTTATGAATGAAGAATGCAAAAAAAAAAAAAAAAAAGGATTACAAAATAAAATGAGAAACAACACCGACAAAACTAAAGTCAATGGGGAAAGAAGTAGAAGCTAAATATAGCAATGAAGTGCAAATGCATTAAACAGGCATCTGGGTTTAACTATCTGGCAACAGCATTCACTGAAGATGGTCAACTGGAATAAGAAATCAACATCGGATGCATTAAAAGAAAACAAGTATTAGGACATCTAGTTCCCTCTTACAGGATAAGACAATCCCTTCGGCACAAAGAAACATCTCATACAAAGCAAGTTCATTCCAACCCTAAGCAACTAATTCCAGCATGGTCACTCAACAAATTAAAATGGAAAATTACTAAACAGAGAAATAGAACATATGAGCAGGACTGCTGGAGTGACAGAAGAGATAAAATCAGGAACGAGGTCATGTGAGAAAACTTTGTCACAGAACCAATTCTAAATTGCATACACAGACAGCTAATCAAATCTTTTGACCACTTCAGAGAATGCATTGCGATGTGATACCATACAAGCCATGTACTAAAAGATGAGAAGGGTAGACCAAGAATAATATGGAAAGATAACGTGAGCGAAGTTCTACAATAATTTCTGAATATGGTCGAAATGGCTAGAAGAGCACGTAAAAGAACCAAATATCTCCCTCGAGACCGGAAGTAGAAAGTGAAAAAGAAGAAGTTACAGGGCGCTTTCAATTGTGCAGGCAATTTAGTTAATTAAAACAATATATATATATATATATATATATATATATATATATATATATATATATATATATACATATATACATATACACATATACACATATACATACATATATATGCTGCTTCTGTTATGGTTCCTTTCAAGTCAGACTACCTCTCTTCGTGAATATAGAACATTTTGTTAAAGACAAGCCTGTACTTAGTGCTCATTGCGTAATAAATGAAAATGTTCACAGAAGAGTTGACAGATTGCAGAACAATTACAAGCCCAGCTATTATTGTCAGCACTTGCCTGTATGGCCCGTCAATGGTCAAACCAGGAACTGCTACCATAGCTATAAAGATGAACGTTTCCGGAATGAAACAGCCAATAAATAGAGAAGATATTATCAACACCATTTTAGAAACTTTTTGGTTCTTTGTGGAGATAGTATCAGATTGTGTGATCAGTACAGACTTTCTCCTCCAGACTGTAAGTTTGTGTAATTTAACTACTAACATAACAGTACAAACAAGGATAACCACAAACGCGGTGAAGGAAACAAAAGCGTTGTTGATGGCGAAAGAAATCTTCTCCACTTTTTCTCTATCCTGTGTGTGAATAAGACCAAGTAAGGTTTTATTTTTCTCTGGGAAGAATCTCCAGCCAAGTCTGTTGACAACATAGACGGGCGCCATGCTGAAGATAAGGACCACAAAGACTAAAATGATGACAATTGAAGCTCGTTTTGGTGTAATGAGGACCTTGATCTGAAACATTCAAAGGATTTAATGTCATCATTGATATACAAAACTAATGAGATCAGTGACAGCACTGTGGTTAGACGTTTTGATTTCGGCATGAATGTGGATAGTTCTAATCCAGTGACGAGGTGTGTCTGTAACCGCTATAATTGCCGCTCACTTTTCATTGCAAAAGGAAAAAAAAGCATTATTTCCCTATTTTCTATTTTTACTATATTTTGCTGGCAAAATACAAACTGTACCCCTTCTTAATCACCTTAGATATATTCCGTTATTGTGACAGAAATGTCTCCTCACCACTTCATAACATGAATTTGTAATGCTAGTCACACATGTTCTAGGAAATTCTAACAACGGCACTGTTGATACGGACACATGCACTAAATAACTGTAAAATATTATACTAGAGTTGAGATATTTATCCACAAAGGTGATATAGTCGTAAGTAGGATTTAATAATCAACTTTCAAGTTAAATTTTTATTGGTCATTTAGATAAAACAATGGTGCGATAGCCCATAATAGAGCCGTCAAATATATATATATATATATATATATATATATATATATATATATATATATATATATTGACAGTAATTAAATAAATTAGTAGCATATATCTTGAAAACTAAAACCAGTCAACACTTTTTAATGTCATTGTTCATCTTCAGCACATCAAAATTAGTTTAATCTGCTACTTTCATTTCTGAAAAACATTCTAATTGCTGACTAGTGTCAGGATGCATTACTTCACCCGTTGCGAAATCAACTACACAGATACAGTAAACATAAACCAGCCTGCTGATGAATGGGGTTGTATCATTTCACTTCTTTCTGTTCGGGTCTCTCCATAGCAAACTGGTCAAACGGTTTGCCTGGTTCTGAAATTATTTCGTTAATTTCACGGAGGCGTCGCTCATTCAGCTCATGTATCCTCGTTGTAGCTACGGGGCAAATGCTTGGTGGGAGAGAGAAAGAGAGAGAGAGAGAGATAGATATATATATATATAGAGAGAGAGAGAGAGAGAGTGAGCCATATGTGATAACAATCGGGCAATAAAGTTAGTCCTCTGAATTTTAACTAACTTCTTTTTGAATCAAGCACATGATAGACCCTACTTATCAGCAACCGCATCACTGGTTCGAGGTGTGTCTTAGTTCTCTGGTTACTGAATCATTAGGAAAATTTCATACACCATAAAAATTATTTGTTTCCCATTTTACCGAAACAGTTAATATTCATACATGAAACAAAAAAAAAAAAAAACAAAAAAAAAATTACCTTTTTCTCTAAGTTTTTGTTCACTTACGGAATCAATCAAACATATATTTTTACACAACATGACATCCTTACTTAACCTATGTTATAGTTTATATGCTACTTAAACAATCACACATTTACACACAAGACAAACCTTTAATGGAGCTGTTATACACAGGCATCGTTCAAGAGTGATCAGGGCAGTGATCCAACCCGTGACTCGGGTAAACGTCACATGGGGTATACCACTGGTCAGGTAAGTGACTTCTATTGTGTCAAACGGTAGGTCTGCCTCAATGAACGCTGGGGTAAAACAGATGTTTGTCCAGATCAATGTTGCTAGGCATCCAATGTCTGAAACCGCTAGGCCTAAAAAATTATCAAAAACTTTGTGTTTATGTGTTACCTCTTGTTCATCATTATCATAATCATTCTTTTATTCTTATGATTATTCTTGTCATCTTAATTATAACAATTATCTAATTCATAACCGTCATTAGTGACATAGCTATAACAGTCTTGATTAGCACATTCACTATGACAAAAAACATTATAGAGAACCCCCCCCCCCCCAAAAAAAAAAAAATGGGGAGGGGGGTGGGGGAGTTCCGTTGCGAAGTTGTCAAGGTGTTTGCCTCAACTTCTGAAGATCGTTTGTTAGATCTATAGATGCGTCGTTCAATTCAGGAGCGCAAACTTTTGGAGACATGTGAGGATTGTCTCAAGAGATACGGGTTCATGCTATGTTCTACTCTCTCCGTAGATGGTTAGCCCGTTCTGAGGAAAGAGACGGAGCCATTTGGGATTACCAGGAACAATGAAGTCGATCCTCTCGACTTTCCCTTTATGACAGCATTTCCAATATCATCGTCATAATTATCTTCACTATTACCATCCTCACCATTATCATCATCATTGACAACTGAACAATAACACATATTTATCGTCAATCTATCATCATCTTGGCTCCCACTGTCGTCAAAGCCATAAATATTATCACGACGATCACTTGAGCCAGTCGGAATCTGTGGTTCAGAAATTCGTAAAGCGCTTCGCAATGACAAGCTGTCGGGTTTGATCCCAGCTACTCGAGTTTTGGCAGAAGACTGCCCTGTATTGGTTTCGACAGTAGTATCAAAAGCCTACTGTCTAGTAAGCAATGAGAAACTACCAACGTGTAAGTGCCTTGTAAAATAGCAAACAACCAAACATTGCTAGTGTTGGTGCTTTGTTGTCCTGTTAAATACATAAAACTTACTTAATATTATTTAATAACATTTCATTTTTGCTGTGGTCCTAAAGTTCACACTCTTGCTGATTCTTCTGGAATCTTTCATGTAGCAGTGAAGCTATATTTTACTACTCTGGAATCTTTCATGTAGCAGTGAAGCTATATTTTATTCCACGAATCCTTTATCAGATTGAAAAAAAAAAGAAACTGATTTTTGTTTCTTTGGTAATATCGTACCCCAGGTGACGTCACAGGATAGTCTAACATTTTGGAGGATGGTAAGAGTGTGTTTCTCGGCTTTCTGATGCTTTTAACGACCCTAAAACATCTAGAACTGACCCTAACCTTAACCCACCTACGTTCCATGAGAGAGTGCAGCCTAGGTCTCACGACTGCATGCAGCCCAGGTCCCTCGACTGCATGCAGCCTATCTAACACTCCCTGTAATATTAGAATGTGCTGTGACCTGTGGATTTCCCCTGTTTGGGGTAGGATATTAAGAATACAGTGACTTTTTTTTTAAATCGATAAAGTGCGTTGGCACCAGGCAGCCATTGTGGATAAGAAAGTAATATACTTGCCTGTTAATCCAGTAGCCAATGGTTAGAATTCCCACTGAGAATTGTTACTTACTTTTCTACATGGTCATCTTAATTTATACTGTTTTATTAAAAAGAAGTATTCAGTCGATTTACATAAAAAATGTCCCCCAAAAAGTTGTGTGTGTCCTTGTGTAATCGCGAGACATAAAACGGCAGATAAGAAAAATCCAGGACATTAAAGAGAGAGTCGCTGTTACAATTGTATTTGTAAATCTGGTCGCGATTTAGAAGACGTGACAGGAAATTAAAGACAGTTAAGCTAGTGTGCTAATTGGACAAAAAAATGTGTAAAGAGAACAATCAAAAAGTCACATTTAATTTGCCGCCTGGCATGGGCGATGCAGTTAAAGAAAGATCGAACAAAGCTTTTGAAAAATCTCTCTTGGCGAGGAAGGCCAGTCCAAAATTATGGTATTCAACATGGGCAACAATCAAACTTTATCCACACAAAAAAGTAAAGTACAAAATCAAGGAATGCGGATTATAACTGGAGTCATCCAAACCTCCATAATTATTGAAATGGAAAAGATCACGGATTTTCAACAAATGAAGCATAGAAGAAACAGCAAAACCCCAGCAACAAGCAGAAAGATTTCGAAGGCTGACAGATCACCCATGTTTCAAATGTGTAATGGTCTAGAATAGGGAGGAAAAAAAACACCTTTGTAAAGACAGCATAAACTAGGATGGGGGAAGGTCCTCTCCCTGACATATCAAAATCAAACACGTCCACGTTACACACAGGCACTTTGCCTGAAGACAGCAGCACCTGCCTGAGTTGATAGAAAATATTTTTGGTACTGATGAAAAAAAAAGGAACACTCAGAATGAAACAAAAAGAAAGAAAAGCACATTAAACTGCATAGAAGAACTATTCACAAGTAACACCTTGACTCATGCTTATACAGATGGATCAGACATGACTCAGAAGAAAATGGAGCTGGGGGGATTGTCTTGAATTTGGAAAATGGATCAAAGAAAACAGTCTGTTGCAGTCGGAAAATTCTCAAGAAATTTAGGGCAGAGGCCTTGAGAAGTGCCGCAGAAAGCTTCCGTAGGAGAACAGCTATCTTCACAGATGCTAGGTCAGTTGCCACAGTACGGAAAAGTAAACTAATATGGACATTTGAAGTCGATATACGTGTATATCCATTCAATGCTTCTTTCATAATATTAGTTCAACACCAGTTATTTTCGACGACCATATATCTACACATTTTTTGCAGAGAAAATGGACAATCATCAAAAACATCCTTTGTGGACTCTGCGGAATATTTTTCGAGAACAAAAGCAATATACCCACTGTACCACACAAAAACTTCATAAAGTGCTACTTATTGTGGTTATGATGGAATTGAATACATTAACCGAAAAAATCAGACATTGCAACTTAGCTGTAAACCACCAAACATCATCTTAGCGGAAAGCAGGGTAAATGCAAAAGAAGAGGAAGAAGAAGACAGTGAAGACAAAAAAGATGAAAAAAAGAGCAAGAAAGAAGAAGAAGAAGAAGAAGAAAAAAGAGATGAAGAAGAAGAAGAAAAAAGAAGAAGAAGAAGAAGAAGAAGAATAAGAAGAAGAAGAAACAGAAGAAGAAGAAGAAGAAGAAGAAAAAGAAGAAGAAGAAAAAAGAAGAAGAAGAAGAAGAAGAAGAAGAAGAAGAAGAAGAAGAAGAAGAAGAAGAAGAAGAAGAAGAAGAAGAAGAAAAATAAGAAGAAAAAGAAAAAATCAGAAGAGGAAGAAGAAAAAGAAGAAGAAGAAGAAAAAGAAGAAGAAGAAGCATAAGAACAAGAACACGAAGTAAAAGAAGAAGCAGAAGTGGAAGACCAAGAATTAGAAGAAAAAAAGGAGGAAAAGAAGAAGGAGAATAAGAAAAAGAAGAAAAAGAAGAAGAAGAGGAAGAAGAAGAAGAAGAAGAAGAAGAAGAAGAAGAAGAAGAAGAAGAAGAAGAAGAAGAAGAAGAAGAAGAAGAAGAAGAAGAAGAAGAAGAAGAAGAAGAAGAAGAAGAAGAAGACCAAGAAGACCAAGAAGAAGAAGAAGAAGAAGAAGAAGAAGAAGAAGAAGAAGAAGAAGAAGAAGAAGAAGAAGAAGAAGAAGAAGAAAAAGAAGAAGAAGACCAAGAAGAAGAAGAAGACGATGAAAAAGAAGCAGAAGACAAAGAAGAAAAAGAAGAAGAAGACCAAGAGGAAGAAGAAGAAGCAGATATGAAATACAATATAAAATATAAAATGGCATATAGATTGCTATCAATATTACACACTAATAGAGCTTTTATTAGAATATTTTACCTAGAAGACTGATGTTGATAGAATCCTTAAATCCCTCCTTGAAAACACAAAGAATATTGATGATGTTAGTGACAACCCCGAAAATATCAAGTGACATGCAAATAACAGTCAGAATAATCCATTGAAATACTTTTAGGACCGATGTGTCTAAGAAGAAGTCCAATTTCCTGTCCGAAGTAACTTGAAATCGAGTATCGTTTACTTCCAAAGTAGTGATCATAATGAACTCTGTGTGTGTGTGTTTTTTTTTTTTTTCCCTTCTTTGGATTTTTGAACAATATTGTCTCAGTCAGAACTGGCCACTGCACTAAACCTACTTCCTCATTATATAATGTAAAACATGTTAAAACATGTAATTCTGTAAAACTAGAGTTATTGAAGATCTAGAAGAAAAATTAATAGTTACAATAGTTTTATTAAGAATAGATGAAATGTGAGTTATTCGTTCTGCTATTCTCATCATACCTTGTACGTATAATATAATTTTATATTACAAAAAAATTAAGACTACTAATGTATACTTACTCTAATTAGTATTACATAGAGTTTGAAAAGTGGTAGTGCCAGAGGGATCCTTAGCCGGTTAATAGGGAATATAAGAATAGATTCACTGCCTCCCAAACTAGCAAATCGTAGGTGTCGACTAATTTATGGCATCCTTCGAAGTCCGAGTACACTTCCCTAGGGACACGGAACCAAGAGTCTTTACACAAATGCGCCAGATCTATGAAACGGATGTACACGCAAGGTACCGGAACAAGACTAAAGTTCGGAGGTTCACAAAGGCCCCAAATTTTCCACCGGAGAATGCAAAGAAGAAAAGGGTATGTGGTAGGAAGATTAAACAGTGCAGAGAGACCCCTGACTTTTAAAACTACGTTCTGTTGAAAAAATACGGGGGGGGGGGGGGGGTGGGAGAGGTGGTGCGGGTTGTTGTAGTTTTGGGTCTTTTTCCTGATTAGAAGGTATTGGTGAATTACGCTGTTTTATTATTCGTACATTGTATCCTACTCAAGAGGTTCCGTCAAAGTATACTGTCAGTTTATTAACAGCTCTCTAGAGATTTGATCATAGTATACTGTCAGTTTATTAACAACTCTCTAGAGATTTCGTCTTAGTAGATTGTCAGTTTATTAACAGCTCTCTAAAGATTTGATCATAGTATACTGTCAGTTTATTAACAACTCTCTAGAGATTTCGTCTTAGTAGATTGTCAGTTTATTAACAGCTCTCTAAAGATTTGATCAT